GTAGGTTAGAAGGAACAGGTAGTTTCCCAATCTTAGATGTTTCCCAAAGCAATCAAAATGTTGCATGTTTGAAAGTACAGTATCTGGGTAAAATAATTAAAAGTTAGATCACATGCAGTTGGTAGAAAGAGAACTTTATGCTCCTGAGAAAATGAGATGTAGGGAGATTAATGTAACTGTTTTAATACAATAGAACAAATTTCAGAGTTTGGGAACCATCTGAACAAGAAAGAAGAAAACTGACCCTTTATATATTCCACTGAAAAATTAGTACAGAAGTAGATCATCTATAAGAAATCTTAATATCCCCTCTCCTTGTGATCAAGGAGAACATGGCATGCAACTGTCTGCTCTGCAAGTAACAGAAGGCACACTGATGAGCTAAGTGCCCTCCAGCTAAGTCCCAGGCATAATACTGATACTCAATATTATTTAATTAATTTGATATTTATGTCAAACATATAGTCCACATGACAGTAAAATAGAAAACTTGATTTAAAAATAAGAGCACATAGAAATAAACTGTCAACACATCTATTACTACCTGCGCCAGAAAAAGAAAAATTCTAGTGTTATAACTTTACCTCTTTCACCCTTGCACACATTTGTACAGGAGATTATTTCATCTCTGGTTAACATTGACCGTATATTTGGATTGTAGGAAAAACATGCAATAGAGTATCTCATGGTAAAGAAATTAAACATACATCTTAGAAAGAAGAAATGTTACTGAATAAAATGAAAGCTATCCAAGGCATGGAGACTAATAAGATTTTACAGAATGTACCAGTCCCACACAGGATTATTACACTTACTGTTAATAGTATCTTGCTTCTGAGAATCTCTCTGATTTTCAGAGAGCATAGTTGTCAAAGATCACTTTTCAGATTAAATTACTTTGATTTATCTAAAATAAATCTAAAAGCAGACTCACAAAATGGACAAATTAATCCTATCAGTAAGACATTACAAGTCTTCGATTTCATCTGCTTGGTTCTCTAATGCAATGACATAAACTTGGATGGTGTCAAAACTTACAGAGACTTTTGATTAAAAGAGTCACTATTCCAATGTTCTTTCAAGTAAGTGAATAGATTACTGAATAAGTAATTGGGAGAAATTTATTTCATTTCAATAAGACTGTATTGAAATGACTCACCTCTATCACACTTCAAAATAAGCATATTTACTGAGAATTTTTAAAAGTACCTAAATACTAACAATGATTCCTTTCTCTTGTGCTTAACACAAA